GGTAGAGAAAACACTGTTCATGATTTACATATTACATATTTATTTATATGATAAATCAAAGTTTGTTACAAAATACTTGTTCCGAATACTTGATTAGAGAAAATGATTGCAAAACCCTTCAATCGCTAATTGATGGCAATATGAAAAAATAAACTTTTTATTTATCATTTGAAAAATATTCATTTGCATTTGTTTTATTTAAGGTGTCAGCAAGCAATTGAAATGGCTGTTGAAAATTTGGGAAGAAAAATACTATTTGCTGCCCAGTGCAATTTAAGATTGCCACAATTAGATATCAATTTAGATGAAAATGAAGATTTGGTTCTAGAAGAAAAGAAAAAAGAGATTATAAATACTATATTGCATGAAAGACCTTTATGTTCCATTGAAAATACGAATGATTTTAAATCAGTTGTTAAGAGCGAAAGTGTAGTGACTAAGCATATTGAATGGTAAGACATGATTTTGGCACTGTGATACAGAATATGGTAATATTGGACATGTTTTAGGGCCATTTTAAATCAAATATTACAGAAACAAAAACTTGCTGTATTTTTGTGAATTAAGAATTCATAATAATTTATTACTTTATCATTTTTCTTGGTCAATTATTGAGTATTTTCATTCTTACTCTCAAGTTATTATACCTTCAGTCAATAACAGTTTTCTATATTCACATAAATAATTTTATATTTTATGCAAGAATAATTTCTGATACTGCAATTGTGATTAGTATTTTTCAATCATAGTATATGAAATTATTGTTCAGTTTTAAATCAGCCTAAAATCTTTGTTTTAGGATAAATAAAGATATGAACAAGTTGCAAAAGCAAACTGTTAAAAATATTCTTCGAGGCGATGCAAGACCATTACCATATATTATATTTGGTCCTCCAGGCACAGGAAAGACCATCACTGTTGTAGAAACTGTCATGCAGATTCTTAAATTAATTCCTAACAGCAGAATTTTATTAGGTATTGTGCTTAACTTTTTATTCATTTTCCATTATGTGTTTGCAAATTGTGGTATAAAAATTAGTCTTTTGTGAATTTACATCAATGCACAATCCTGTTTTGCAGATTTATAAATAACTTTTCATAATTATTGTTCAAAAATAGTAAAATAGTGAATGAGATTGAAAATAAATTTATATTTCAGCTACACCTTCTAATAGTTCGTCAAACTTGCTGACTCAAAGGCTGATTGGTTTAGGTTTAAAACCTGGTGAAATGGTTCGTGTTTTAGCCCATCATTTAATTGAAAGTGGCATGGTGCCTGATGATATTCAACCTTATTGTTCAACAGTTGATTTAGCAAGGGAAGGAACAAGAGAATCTAGGGTAATTAGTTCTAGAATATTTTATGGATGTAATATATCTTATAGGAATTTTTTTTTTCATATATCAAAGTTTGTTACTTTTCAACAAGACTTCCACAATTTTATATGTTAGGGGGCGTCCATTAATTACGTGAGCGAGTTTTTAAGGATTTTTGGACCACCCATCCCCCTTGGTGATACATGGTGATATTCAAAATTACCCCCCTCCCCCAACAAACATCACGTGTATTTTTAGTTATGTGAAAAAACTAATTTTTTAGAATTATTTTTTAAATGTTTGAATTTTTTTTAAAAAATTGGTTATAAAGTGATATCTTATTATACCCCTCCCTCCCCTACATGATATTTTGTGATTTTTTGTCAAACCCACCCTCCCCCTCAAAACCTCATGTGATTAATTGACGCCCCCTTACTTTGCATATAGTAGGGCTTTATTGCATACTGCCACTTTCAGATAATTTTAAAGTCTGCGCTTTACCACTGAGACTTTTTCCAATTTAACAAACATTCCTAATTTATAATTTTTAACCGGCACACCTCCCAATCTGGAAATTTCTTTAATTTTTTCTCTATTCTTCATCATTGTATTTAACATTTTTAAACTTGTAAGTGATGCTAAGCAGCTGAATTTGATTGTTAACTAAATAAAACTTTATAAGAAACATTACATATTTAAAAGTGATCATAGAATCTTGAAACAAATTTTTTGAGTTGCTTTTAATTCTATTCAATTACAGTTCAAAACAATGGATACTGGCCTCAGATTGCATAGCACAAGGTCGCAGCTAGCACGTTATAGGCTTATAATAAGTACTTGCATGACATTAGGGCAACTTCATACAATGGGCCTTAAACGTGGACATTTCACACATGTTATTGTAGATGAGGCTGGACAAGCCACTGAACCTGAAATTATGGTTCCGATGACTCATACTCATGTTGAAAAGGGTCAAATTATTTTAGCAGGTAATATTTAGTAAATAAACTAGCAAATAAAATGTTCCTTTAATTTTAATTTTGATTTGTGCTTTTAATTGTTGACTGTCATGTAATATTACTAAAAATATTAGTATTAGTCATGTAAGACGCTCTCCAATTTTTTTTATTTGAACCTTTGTTATTTTGATTTTTTTTATGCGTTATGTATAATTTGATTCTAATATTTATTCCATATTATAATATTGTAGTGTATAGTCATAGTAATCACAGATAGTGTAGTAGTGTAAGTTATAGTAATCACAAAAAAATTTAAAATGAAAATGTTTATATATCTTTACGTTTCAAAGGTTTCTGAGTATTTTGACATACCTTAGAAAAATGAATGTATGTGTGTGTGTGTGGATACAAATATTCGTCGACGATGTCGGGAACACCGATCAACTGATTTGAATAATTCAAAAAACATTCGATTCGTATTGATAAAGAGACGTGCTGATTAGTTTTTGGCGAAGGCAGGTCTAGTCGTACAAAGATACGGGGAAAGAAAGTTCCAAAAACGGTAACTCCGTTTTTAGGAGAACGGGGCGTCCGATTTTAATAATTCAAAAAATATTTTACTTATAATGATTTTACTTATATTGACAAGATGAAAAACTGATTAAATTTACTGATTAAATAAGTTAAAAAAATGTCGTTTCGCGGTCAAAAATATTTTTTTGACATATGAACATCAAATTATCAGATATTTTATAGACATTTTAATGTGTACACATTTTGTGTAATTTTTTTTGGGTTCCGTACCAAAATTTTTAGTTACCGTACGGGAAGTTCCAGCAATTTGCCTTAAGGCACAATGCCATGCACCCTACTAGTTTTTTCTCTTATGCTTTGGCAGTATAATTAAATTGCACAAATATTGATTGTCCATATATTCATTTATATTATTTATTGCAGGAGACCCAATGCAATTAGGACCTATTGTAGGCAGCAAGTTTGCTGCTCATTTTGGTTTAGAGGAATCATACTTGAGCAGATTAATGTTGCGGGTTCCCTATCAAAAAGATGCTGAAGTTAGTGTTATTCTTGACTATTCTAAAATATGCTTATTCTCTAGTATTCTTATTTCCTTCAATTACTGAACACTATAATCAAATTTGATATAAAATTGACTTTTTAATTTTAGCATGCAATATAAATATTCTTTAGAAGGTGAAACTTTATTTAAATTAATATAATTTATTTCAGGGTTTTAAAGATACTGGAGGTTATAATCCGCACTTAGTTACAAAACTAGTCAATAATTATAGATCTTTGCCAGAAATTTTAAAATTACCTAGTGATATGTTTTATGATTCTGATTTAGAAGCTCAGGTAATTCATTTCCAAAAATTTATTGATTATAATTCTGTATTATAAAAGTATTACATTATGAAATGCTGTTACAGAAAGTACTGAAGGGCAGCAATGATGAAAAACTCCTTAATTTAGTTGCTGACATGCTTCCAAAAAGAGATGCTGAAAGGGGGCCTCCGCCCATAGTTTTCCATGGAATACAGGGAAAAAATGTCCAGTCAGATGACAGTCCATCATGGTATAATAAGGCAGAAGCAGGCCAGGTACAGCACAAAAATAATTTACAAAGAAACTTTTTCAACAACAAATTTTCTTGGCTAAAGGAAATTGTGTTGATTGGAATTTGAATAATTCCAAAAGATTATCAAATTTTATTATTGATTACATTCAATAAAAATTTTTATTGGTTAAATTAAATAATTCTACTATAATAATTTTATTTGAATTAAGCACTAATAATGTACATTATCAATTATTTTTAGTCAGAGTGAGATAAAAATATATTGGAATTATTATAGTAAAATTTTAGTATAACAATATCATGAACATACTTATTTATCTTTAGTTTTAAACTATTTTTTTTTTTTTAAAGTTATTTTATCTTGAATATCAAACATGAATGAGCTTAAAAAATCACTTGCTGTTACTTATAGAAGAAATACCAATAATTTCAGTGTTCTTGCATAACACAATAATTCTAATCAGTATCAATTTCTTTTTATCAGAAAATAAGGTTTTTCTTTCATTTTGTGCTCGATTTTCATCTTTGGTTATTACATATTTCATTCTGATCATTTCCTACTAAAGTTTTGTCAAGATTACTATTTTTGTTTTATTTTATTCAGATTCTAGATTTTATGTCCAAATTATATGCCAAGGGTATTAAAACAGATGATATTGGAATCATTACTCCTTATCAAAAGCAAGTACAAGTCATCCGTGGCACCCTTGAAGAATTGCATATTCCTGTTCCCAAAATTGGTAGTGTCGAGGAATTCCAAGGCCAAGAAAGATCAATAATACTCATTTCTACAGTGAGATCAAGTAAATCCAAAGTAGTTCAAGATCTGCAACATACTTTAGGATTTGTTAGGAATCCCAAGAGATTGAATGTTGCAATAACTAGAGCTAAAACATTGCTTGTAATTTTTGGAAATCCATCTTTATTGTCATTGGATAATAATTGGAACCGTCTAATAACATATTGCATATCGATTGGTGGGTACACTGGCTGTGATTTGCCTAGCACCTTTTGGAATGAAGATGAATTACGTTAAAAGGGAAGTGATAAGTTTTATTATTATTGAAAATTTATTTTCATAAATTTAAATATTTTATTTTATAGAAATATATATAAGTTCAGTGTTAATTACTCTAAGTTTAATATAAAACAGATATATATCTCATGTTCAAATTTTTCCATACTATGCGATCTTCATTAACTAAGAAAATTTATTAGTATCTTTATTTTTATTAAACATTGCATCGTAAATAACAAATCATATAAATATTTTTACACACATACACATTAAACTACTAACTTATAGTCCAAATCATCTTTGATGTCAATTGTTCTACTGGATCTTGGTGCGTATAGTGGGTTGGGTGGTTTATTAGTATAATTTTCAAGAAATAATGCAGACAGTAAAGCTGGAGGGAATGTTTTTAATAGATATATCCAACACGAGTGTCGACTGAAAATAAACATTTCATCTTAAGTTAGAATCATAATACCAAAGACACCTTAACATGTTGAATAGAGGATTTTATCATAAATATATTGATGCTGCATGCATTATTATTTTATCAAAACAAAGATTTACATATCTGTGATATTGAATTCCACAAAAATATATCTTCTTTAAAATTGTTATTACCATAAGGTATTTTTATGCTGTGAATTAATAGTAAGAATGTTAAATGCAATGTTTTAAAAATCTATTGCATGCAAATATTTTGTATGTTAACTGTATCAAAGAAATTTTATTTCAAAGATCAATTTCTTTATAATATTTTTAATAAAATATATGAAAATTAAAAACAAAGTTTGTATTGAAAGAGAAAATTTCAGTGAAATTAATACTAATAACCGAGGAGACATAAAATTTCATGTAATTTCAATATTTAACTTCCCGTAGGGCAAGTTATAGTAATCGCAAAAAAATCGAAAATGAAAATTTTTATATATCTTTACGTTTCAGAGGTTTCTGAACATTTTGGCATACCTTAGAAAAAATGGATGTATGTGTGTGTGTATGCATGTGCGGATACAAATTTTCGTCGTCGATTTCGGGAACACGGATCAACCGATTTGAATAATTCAAAAAGCATTCGATTCGTATTGATAAGGAGACGTGCTGATTAGTTTTTGGCGAAGGCAGTTCCAGCCGTTCCAAAGATACGGGGCAAAAAGTGCCGAAAACGGTAACTCAGTTTTTAAGAGAACGGAGCGTTCGATTTTAATAATTCAAAAAACATTTGACTTGTATTGACAAGATGAAGAATTGATCAAATTTTCATGAGGGCAGGTCTAGCGGTTTCGGAGATCTAACGAAAAAAGTAAAAAAAAATGCCATTTGGCGGTCAAAAATGATCATTAGACATATGCACATCAAATTATCAGATATTTTATAGAGATTTTAACAATAAGTATAAATTTTGTTAGCATTCCTATGGGTTCCGTACCAATGTTTATTCGTTAGACGGCGACGCGGCGCTTACGCGCTTTGACATTTTGTCTCTATGCTGTTAAAGCAGTACGATTGCTTTGAAAAAAAGTTCACATCTTCCAAAATATGCCAAAATGAAGAAAACATTATTTTTACCAAAAATAATTAAAAACAAAAAAAAAAAAATTAAATTGTAAAGTAATTTTTTGTCCAATTTATAGTTTCTCAAAAATCTTATTTTTTCAAAGTAATTTTTTTTTAAAAATGTCAATCGTTTTTAAAAAAATAATAATTTTTGGTACGGGAAGTTCCAGCAATTTGCTTTAAGGCACGATGCCTTAATTGCCTTAAGACAGAATTCCACTTTCAGCTAGTTTTATATTATTTCAATGTAACAATGTATGGGGGAGTATAAAGGACCTTCAATTTAAGTGGTTTGCATCAAGTATTGATATGTATTATACCTTTCATCACTTGAGACATCTGCTAATTCACGCACGTAAAGGTTCGGGTGATCTTCTAAGACATCCAAGTTACTTAACATTTTGTCATCTACCTCATAAATTTCTCCGGAAACATTGTATCCTTCTCCCGGCTTGTCCAGTAAAAATGGTATGTTATATCTTGTTGCTATTACTAGAGGATATTTATCATTTGTAGTAGCTCTCGAGACGAAATTGGCTGCTCCATTTTTAATATCTGTCAGCCAATGATGATTCGGTTCACCTTTCTTCAATGTTCCATACACAAATACTTTATGAATTTTGTTAGCCATGTTCATAGTTTGTAACGTAGTGCGTACGTTTGAGAAAAAAACCTATAAAAGTGAGTGATGGCAAAATCCGTTCTTCTGAAATACGAAGGTGGATTCTACTAATTTCATTATCACAAAAAATAACCAAGATATTAAAAAAGTGTCAAAAAGAAATAGCCATAGATAAACAAGTATAAATGGAAACTTCCATTATTTCTTCATCTGTCAATGTGACACTGAACTTTAATAATTGCATTATGACGATCATATGAATATATTACATTCTAATATTATGCAGGATTTGTAGAATTATGACAGCGGAATAGAATCCTATAAATTTGTGTAATATCATAGACAGTGACTCTCGAAATTGATCACAGATGATTATATTGTCTAAGCATATGATTAGCAATTGATAACCTGTTTAAATAAAACATTTTGTTTTACTTAAACAAAAAACAAAAAAAAAATACGTTTTATATACATTTGATCAAAATTATGTTTTGATTTAAATAGTCTACTGCGATCATTCTCCCTTCTATTTTCTCTAATAAACTAACCCCTTCTGACATAATGCATTCCCACCACTTATAGCTGGTTTAATATCTTGTCCGTAATAGTTCAGTTCGCCCCTTTCACATCCCCTCCTTGGCATCAGATCCAAATCGATTAATTTTGGTTTCATCGACCATATAACATTTGTCCAATCATTTACCTAGAAGTGGGCATGTTTTTTAGAGAACGCTGATCTTAAGACTCCTAGTGGTGAGGTTAAACATATCACTCATTATAAGGATCAATTGGTGAGTAAATACCTTAAAGTAGTAACCATAGATGATAAGGAATTTAATGCTATGGTAAATTCAGGCAGTTCCGAATGTACTATAAAGAAGTCACTGGAGACTGATACAAAGTACAAGATATTACATACCCATATGAGGATGAAGAGCTGGAGGCCCGAACACTTTATGGTTGAGTCTCCTGCAGCAATCATTGTGACAATGCAGGTGAACAGAGTTATGGCAAAGGGTGTTTCTGTTAGGATAGTACCAGATGATACACAACTTTGTAGATTATCGGACGGACATTCACTGAACTGCCACACTTATACTATACAAAGGCAACAAACTGATGTTTATCTACTATGAGGAACATCCGATTTCAAACATGGAAGTCATAGGTCTTATTGAACAGAGACTGAGACAATACTACTTGTAGGGACAATAAACTTAGTCAGAGTTATAGATGAACATACTGACTTGACTGTACCAGTACTGAACTTGAATGACAAACCTGTACATTTACCAAAGGACTTGACGGTACACAGAGGGCAAGTTTGGACAGTACAGCGACAAACACAAACAGAGACTAAGTACAAAACTGTAGTTGTAACTGACTTAGACATGGGAAACCAACCCAGAGAAATTGTAAATGAACTATTAAGTGTTCATCAGGCAGCCGACCAGTCAGAGCAAAGTCCTATCGAGCCAGCAACTTAGAGAGGCAGGAAATTAGCTGCATTGTTGGAGGGCTGAGAGCTGGGGTTGTGATGGATACTGAGTCTTTTCATTTTGCAGAGATGAGCAGGTTGCTCACAGGGCTCCTGAAGACTGATGTGAAGTTTACATGGATAGAGAAGCATTAGGAAGTATTTAACGATTTAAAGAGTCCACTAATAAGCAGACCTCTGCTGGAAATACTTGACCCTGACAGATGCACAGAGCTGCATATGGATGCAAGTTCTTTGGAACCGGCGTTCATGCTTTTGCAGAGAGGGTATAACCAGCTGAAAAGGTACTACTCAAAAGACTTAACAAACACATAAGACACAACAAAATCATACCTGACACACAATACGGTTTTAAAGAACGACACTCCACACTACACCCACTGACAAAACTCATAGAAAATACAGTTCTCAATTTTAACAGACGAAACCATACCCGATTGGTGTTATTCGACTTTGAGAAGGCGTTTGACACCATCTGGATGGACGGACTTATACATAAACTTATCCAACTCAACTTTCCACCATACATTACCAGAACATTACACTCATATCTTTCAGACCGTAACTTTACCGTACAAGTAGACAACGGATTTTCGACGGTTAAACAAGTGACGGCGGGAGTACCGCATGGCTCGATCCTGGGACCGTAACTGTTTAACGTCAACATTCACGACATACCCACTGACGTCGACACAATGTTACTGACGTTTGCTGACGACACTGCCATATACAAATCATCACGATCACCGACGCTACTGACTACAAAGATATAGACACACATAGACAAGCTGACCGATTATACTGACAAATGGCAGATCAGGATAAATCCGCAAAAGACGGAGGCAATTTTATTTACTAAGAGCCGAAATGCCACGACTAGACTGACTGACTTGGATAAAATTAAAGTATTGTACTGTGAAGTTGAGTGGTTCAAGGATGTCAAATATCTTGGTGTGACCCTGAACCATGAACTCAGCTTCACAAAACATATTAATACAAAAATTGGACAGACTTACGGGATGTTAAATCTACTGAGACTTCTCTTGAACCACAACAGCCCGCTATGCGTGAAAAACAAGCGGACACTTTACTTAACACTTATAAGACCGCTACTGACGTACGCTGCTCCAGCATGGAACGCGACGACTAAGACAAACTTACGGAAACTACAGACATTACAAAATAAGACACTAAAATAAGAGACCCACTGACTAGACATTACTACTCTTCAAAATACATACACAAACAGACTGACGCACCGACAATACTCGACTATATATAAAAAAGCTCACTGAAAATTTTTATCTAAAATGTGGGAATCATCCTAATATTAACATCGCGGCCTCGGCCAATACACTAGAGACGATATTTGGTATGGCAATCACGCCATGCCAAAATATATACTGATCGACCCATAGTGGCAATTGATACTTGGATGAGAATAAATCTTTTATTTTGTTTTTTTTTTATTTGTATAATTATGTATAATTATAAATATTGCTCTGTGGCTTTTTTTTTTGGGGAAAAAGTTTTCTTTCCTCTTTTTTTTGCCATTCAATTTGTAACACATCTCGCTGTAGTAACAATCAACACTTACTGTATATATTAAGATCAGATATGATGTATAAAGTACTAAGTAGTAATCACAGTGCTGATCAAGCTTCCCGACAAACGCAAGAACATATCAATAAACTACAAATGTGGCTTGCCAAATGGAAGATTTGCATAAATGAAACCAAATCAGCTCATATCACATTTACCCTGAGAGAGGGTACTTGTCCTCCAATTTATTTAAACAACGTCCAGATTCCGAAACAGAACATAGTGAAATATCTTGGTCTTCATTTAGATAGCAGACTTACTTGGAAAAGCCACATAAAAACAAAAAAGCAGCAAATAATGATCAAAATGAAAGAATTTGATTGGCTTCTGCGTAAAAAGTCTAAGCTCGCTGTTGAAAATAAGTTGCTGCTATATAATTCAATTATCAAACCAATCTGGACTTACGGAATTGAGCTCTGGGGATGTGCTTACAAATCTAATATAGCTATAATGCAGAGAACTCAGTCAAAAATTTTACGTACAATTCTTAATTCTCCATGGTACGTAACAAATGAAACCATTCACAGCGACCTCAAGATGAAAACGGTGCATTTAACTTTCCAAGAATTCAATGAAAAATACAAACGCAAACTGGACTCACATTCGAACCCCTCTATAGTTGAAATTACTAAACCTTATGGTATAAGAAGATTGAAACGACAATGGCCTTTAGACTTAGTCTTAGATTAGGTCTAATATAATATTATTATAGCAATTGTTAAACTGAGAAGATCTCATTGGAGCTCTTCTTAGGCTTCGCTCTTACATTGTCATTTTAGCTCATAGGAATCTTAATGTATTTCTGATTGCTAAGTAAAATGAGTTAAAAAAAAAAAAAAAAAAAAAAATGATGTATAAAGTACCGAAGGGTAGAAAAATATGTACTAAAAATAGCAATGCAAAATGTATTCTTAATTACTGTAATAAATACTTCTGTCTGTCTGTCTGTCTGCGCTTTTGAAGCGACTGAAAAACGTGGATGTTTTGACATGTTTTGAATTGAGTGAAAAAATTTTGGACCAAAAATTTTTTGGACCAATATTTTTTTGACCAAAATTTTTTTGAAATTGGGCCAAAAAATTTTGGGAAAACAATTTTTGGAAAAAAAATTTTTGGTAAAAAATTTTTGAAAAAAAAATTTCGGAAAAAAAAATATCGTTCAAAAAAATTTTGGGAAAAAAATTTGGTCAGAAAAATTTTGGTCAAAAAAATTTTGGCCAAAATTTTTTTGACCACAATTTATTTAACCGAAATTTTTTTCGCAAAATTTTTTTGAACGAAAATTTTGTTGACCAAAATTTTTTTGACCAAAATTTTTTGGACCAACATTTTTTTGACCAACATTTTTGTTACCAAAATTTTTTTGACCAAATTTTTTTTGATCAAAATTTCCCAAAATTTTTTTCCCAAAATTTTTTTGACCAAAATTTTTTTGACCACAATTTTTTTAACCGAATTTTTTTTCCCAAATTTTTTTTGAACGAAAATTTTGTTGACCAAAATTTTTTTGACCAAAATTTTTTGGACCAACATTTTTTTGACCAACATTTTTGTTACCAAAATTTTTTTGATCAAATTTTTTTTGATCAAAATTTTTTTGACCAAAATTTTTTTGACCAAAATTTTTTGGACCAATATTTTTTTGGACCAAAATTTTTTTAACCAAAAATTTTTTTGACCAAATTTTTTTCCCAAAATTTTTTCCCCAAAATTTTTCTTTCCCAAAATTTTTTTGGACCAAAATTTTTTTGGACCAAATTTTTTTGGACCAAAATTTTTTGGACCAAAATTTTTTTGACCAAAATTTTTTTGACCACAATTTTTTTAACCGAAATTTTTTCTCCAAGATTTTTTTGAACGAAAATTTTTTTTCCCAATTTTTTTTGCAAAAATTTTTTTCCCAAAAATTTTTTTCCCTTTTTTTTTGACCAAAATTTTTTTGACCAAATTTTTTTCCCAAAATTTTTTTGAACGATAATTTTTTTTCCGAAATTTTTTTTCCAAAAATTTTTTCCCAAAAATTTTTTTTCCAAAATTTTTTTTCCCAAAATTTTTTGGACCAAAACTTTTTTGGATCAAAATTTTTTGGACCAAAATTTTTTTGACCACAATTTTTATAACCGAATTTTTTTTCCTAAGATTTTTTTGAACGAAAATTTTTTTTCCCAAATTTTTTTTGCAAAAATATTTTTCCCAAAAATTTTTTCCCAAAAATTTTTTTCCCAAAAATTTTTTTCCCAAAATTTTTTGGACCAAAATTTTGTTGACCAAAATTTTTTTGACCAAATTTTGTTCCGAAAATTTTTTTTACCAAAATTTTTTTCCCAAAATTTTTTTGACCAAAATTTTTTTGACCAAAATTTTTTTGACCAAAATTTTTTTGACCAAATTTTTTCCCCAAAATTTTTTTGAACGATAATTTTTTTCCGAAATTTTTTTTTTCAAAAATTTTTTCCCAAAAATTTTTTTTCCAAAAATTGTTTTCCCAAAATTTTTTGGACCAAAATTTTTTTGACCAAAATTTTTTTGACAAAAATTTTTTGGACCAAAATTTTTTTGACCATAATTTTTTGGACCAATATTTTTTTGGACCAAAATTTTTTTGACCAAAATTTTTTCGACCAATTTTTTTTCCCACAATTTTTTTGATCGATAATTTTTTTCCGAAATTTTTTTTCCAAAAATTTTTTCCCAAAAATTTTTTTCCCAAAAATTTTTTTCCCAAAATTTTTTGGACCAAAAGACCAAAATTTATTTGACCACAATTTTTTTAACCGAAATTTTTTTCCCAAGATTTTTTTGAACGAAATTTTTTTTCCCAAATTTTTTTTGCAAAAATATTTTTTCCAAAATTTTTTTGACCAAAATATTTTTGACAAAAATTTTTTGGACCAACATTTTTTTGACCAACATTTTTTTGACCAACATTTTTTTGGCCAACATTTTTTTCACCAAAATTTTTTTAACCAAAATTTTTTTGACAAAATTTTGGGAAAAAAATTGGTCAAAAAAATTTTGGTCAAAAAAATTTTTATGACTAAATTTTTTTCCCAAAATTTTATTGACCAAAGTTTTTTTGACTATAATTTTTTTCTCATAATTTTTTGGGCCAAAATTTGTTTGAGTCAAAATTTTTTTGACCAAATTTTTTTAGGCCCAAATTTTTTGGGTCAAAATTTTTTAGGCCAAAATTTTTTTGACCAAATTTTTTTTGACCAAAATTTTTTTGGGCTAAAATTTTTTGGGTCAAATTTTAGACCAAATTTTAGGTCAAAATTTTTTGAGTCAAAATTTTTTTTCGGGCCAAAATTTTTTGGGCCAAAATTTTTTTGAGTCAAAATTTTTTTGGCCAAATTTTTTTGGTCTAAAATTTTTTTGACCAAAATTTGTTTTGACCAAAAATTTTTTTTGGGCCAAAATTTTTTAGGCCAAAATTTTTTGGACCAAATTTTTTTGGGCCAAAAGTTTTCGGGTCAAAATTTTTTTGAGTCAAAATTTTTTTATCCAAATTTTTTTTGGGCCAAAATTTTTTGGGTCAAAATTTTTTGGGCCAAAATTTTTAGGGTCAAAATTTTTTTTGACCAAACATTTTTTTTTGGGCCAAAATTTTTTAGGCCAAAATTTTTGGGTCAAAATTTTTTTGGGCCAAAATTTTTTGGGTCAAAACTTTTTTTGACCAAAAATTTTTTTTTGTGCCAAAATTTTCTGGGTCAAAATTTTTTAGACCAAAATTTTTTTGACCAAATTTTTTTTGACCAAAATTTTTTATGCCAAAATTTTTTGGGTCAAAATTTTTTTGGGTAAAAATTTTTTTGAGTCAAAATTTTTTTGACCAAATTTTTGGCCAAAATTTTTTTGACCAAAATTTTTTCGGTCATAACTTTTTTTTGGGTCAAAATTTTTTTTGACCAAAAATTTTTTTTTGGGCCAAAATTTTTTAGGCCAAAATTTTTTAGGCCAAAATTTTTTTGACCAAATTTTTTTTGACCAAAATTTTTTTGGGCCAAAATTTTTTGACCAAATTTTTTTTGACCAAAAATTTTTTTTCGGGCCAAAATTTTTTTGAGTCAAAATTTTTTTGACCAAATTTTTTTGGGCCAAAATTTTTTGTGCCAAAATTTTTTAGGCCAAAATTTTTTGGGTCAAAATTTTTTGGGTCAAAATTTTTTCGGGCCAAAATTTTTTTGACCAAATTTTTTTTTACCAAATTTTTTTTGACCAAAATTTTTTGGGCCAAAATTTTT